GAAATCAGGAAGACCGTGATGTTCCATGACAAAAGCAGTGTAGGATGCAATCGGTGAAATCTACTCTAAAGTCAAGGACGTCGCACAAATTTATGACCTGGCAACCAAGACATGGTCCACCAAACAAGGGAACAAATCAGTAAATGAGTATTCTAACATGTTAAAAATTGGTCATAGAAAGTGGATCAATGCCACAGCTTGACCATAGATTGTAGTAATGATGTTGCTCGACGTAAGAACTTTATAGAAAAAGACCGTGCATATCAACTTCTAGCAGGATTAAATCCTAAATACGATCAATTACAAATTTATATCTTGGAAAAAGAGGAAACGTCATCACATTAATGAATTCATTTCTATTGTAATGAAATAAGAGAGTATAAGAGGGATTATTTTAGAACATCGTCCCACTAATAGTTCAACGTTGATTTTACGAAATTCCAAACATAGCCAACAGATGAAGAAGGTGAATCACTCTGAGAATTCAAACCCAGGAAGAGATAGCAGGGACAATCTTTGTGTACTTTGTAAAAAACCTAAACATACAAAGGAAAGTGTATGAATTACATAAGAAGCCCTGTACTTCAAGTAAAGAGTGAGGATACAAAAATAACTCACTAAAAATTCACAAATAGGTCCACATAGCCAACCAACAAGAAGAAGAAACACCTGTCAATCTCACTGCTTTCAAATGTGAAATTGAATGACTACGTAGTCATATGGAAGGCCGGAGAAACTCACAGGTACAATTGTAACAAAATACTCAAATATGTATTTTTTTCACACGGTTTAAATATCTCAGGTAAACACTGAGAATTCTTGAATTGTAAAATCTAGAGCCATAGATCATATGAGTAATATTTCTAAATATTTTCATACATATGTTTTATGTCCAAATAATAAGAAGATTAATACTGTAGATGGTTTTTTGAATACTATTGCGAGCAAGAGTAACATTAAGATTTGTCCTATTTTGTCTTAAAAAATGTGTTATATATCCTCAAATTGTGTACTAATTTGTATAAGTTAATAGATTATCACAAAACTTGAACTGCAAAACTACATTTGATTCTTCTCAATGTGATTTTTAGAATCAGAATTCAAAGAAAATGATTAGACATGCTGAAAGCAGAAATAGACTCATCTATTTGGATGCACTTGAGGGGGCCTTCTTTACAATTACCATTAATCCTATACATAAGATTTGGCTCTACCATAAAAGACTTGGAACTCATCATTCTCCACCTTGAATGTTATATTTCCTTTATTGTTTAAAAATTCAAAATATGGAAATGTATTATGTTCTATTTGCGAATTTGCAAAATATAAATGTGTAACATTTTTAAATTAGTAATAAAAGAATATTAACTCTCGTGGCCCAGAATAAAAAAAACAAAAGTTTTGGGCATTAATTAGCTTGTATCCATAGAACATTTAGCGTTGCATAGATAATGAATAAATAGGAGTTAATATCATTCCCATTGCCATTACAAAAGTAATTAGTATTTTTGCCATTACAAACCCATTCATGCTTGGTAATGCAAGGGAAACCATCAATAAGATACTGAACATCGTGAATATTTTTGGTATTGAAATAGCCATTCCTCTCATTTCATCGAGATAAACAAGATGTATTCTATCATAACTCATTCCTGCCAAGAAAAAAAGTGTAGCGCCAGTAAAGCCATGAGAGACTATTTGTAAATTAACTTCTTTTTTATTAATTTATAGTGATATTTGGTAATCCACTCACACACTTAATCTTTTTAGGATTCAATAATTTATATAATTTATTGACGATTGCACTAGAGTCGCATGGCTATTTTTACTCAAAACCAAATATGATGTTAACCATATCATACCTCAGTTTTGCAACATGATAAAAGCTCAATTCAGCATCAACAACGCCAAAGATTTTTTTATCACACACGTTCATCATTCTTTCATAAAGAATGAATTCTTCATGAATCATCCTGCGTCCACACTATACAACAAGACGGAGTAACAGAACGCAAGAACATTCACTTTTTAACCACAACCAGAGATTTTATGTTTTAAAATCACGTCCCAGAACAATATTGGG